CAGCGTGTGTCCCCTGTCCCATCATGCCCTGCTTCCTGTGTGGTTTGATCTGAAGATGCACTTATCTGTCACAGACTGGCTTACATTATTGGTAACACACACACACACACACACACACACACACACACACACACATGTTTTATGTCATCCGGTCTTAATCATAGTAATTGTATGACATTTAAATTTCCCTTACATTGCAGTAAACTGAGAAAAATTATAGTACATTACCCATCAGACCTCATGTGCTTACAGGACTGTACTGTATGTGTTAACTGTGTGTGTGACCAGACGCTCCAGACACGACCCAGGCACTACTGCTAACAGAAGGCTCCATCACCACAGTCCAGCCTGCCTCACTGTCTGACCTCAGCAACGTTACAGTCATAGGTCAGTCAGTATGTGTGTCTGTGCTTTTATATATATACTTGCACGAGTGTGTACCATTTTGCCATTATTCTCTTTAGGAAGAGAAGAGCAGATAGCGACTAAATTAAATACATAGTGGCTTTAAAATGTTGCATTTATGAACTATAGGTATGTCTGTCATTCTTCCAGGTCTGAGTCACAACCTTATCTCAGTGCTAATTTGGGTGATCCAGTGGATGAGAAAAAATGATATTGACACAGTCATAATGATTAAGTTTTGCATATTGTGCTAAGCGAGAACTACATGCATCTATATATACAACTGCTGAATAAAGTCTGTGCCGTGTCCTTCGACATGATTCTCTGTGTTGATGTTCAGATCCAAGGTGGCTGGTTCAAAGGTAGCAAGGCCCTGCGGAGTCTGAAGCTGGAGGGCAACTTGCTCACCAGTTTGGACTCTGGTTCCTTCCCTCTGAATAACCTCGAAGGTCTGGAGAGTCTGGATCTGTCAGAAAACCTGATAGATCATCTGCCTAAAAGCAGGTTAGATTTGTATTGCGTTCAATACATTATTCTTCCTTACACTTTGCTTTTTCCATCATTTATTGCAAGAGCACACAAAAATGTAAAACATTTTTTACAGTATTTGCATTGCACACATTATTATATATATTTATGATACAGTGAATATCCGGTTTTGTGATCCTAGCTTTGGTGGGTTGGTGAGACTGCAGACTCTGGATCTGTCCAGAAACCGTCTGAGTTCTGCTCCTGCTGAGGCTTTTTCCTACCTCAGCTGGCTGACAAACCTCAACCTGGACCTCAACTCATGGAACTGCTCCTGTCAGCTGCTGGAACTGGCTGCCTTCCTGTCCACCTTCATACAACAACCAGACAAGGTGCAAGACGTCCTAAACCTGTAAACATTTCCAATGCTGCTTCACCTGATTTCAGGAACTACCACATGAAATTAAATGTGGCAGTTTTATTTGGCGACTGCAAATTATGACTCATACTAGCACTGACTTCCGAGGTGGAAGAAAACAAAAAAAGATATTATTGAAAAAAAATGGAGTAATTGCATTATGTTTGATGATACAGGTATGAAAAATAAGAAGATTTTGTACTCAATAGATAGTTTACCAGCTTACTGGTTCTGCTTATTTCAAGGTTCTGACATTTAAATGCTAATCACAGGACTAGTTGACTCAAACCTGATATATCTGCCACCTGCTGCTCTCAGACCCTCTATAATGGCCGTAGGATGGTGTGTGTGAGCGCTGACAACCCGTCAGTTATCACAGTGCTGGAGCTGACTGAGGCCAACTGTGTCCCGTCCAATCAGAACATCACAGTGCGGATAGAAGGAAGAGGCAGCGTGACCCCTCACCGGTATACGCTCGAGATCTGGCCATCACTGCAGTCATCTGCTTCATCGGTGAGAATGATACGCAACACAATGAACAGAAATTTGTTGAGTTTAGCTGTGCCAAGATGCCACTAATTAGTTCGTCAGAAAAAAGTTAATGCTAATCCATATAGTTTAGGAGTCGATTATACGCAAACGGATGCGAATCGCCACCTTAACGTGGTGGAGGAGTTTGAGTGGCTCAGTGATCCGGGGAGCTATGTTGTCCGGGGCATTAGCCCCTGGTAGGGTCTCCCAAGGCAAACAGGTTTCAGGGGAGAGCCCAGACTAAGAGCGGTTCAAAACGACCCTTATGACAGTTAGCCCATGGACTTTAGCCACCTCGCCCGGACCAGGGAAACCGGGGCACCCTCCCGGAACCAGACCCAGGAGGGGAGGTCGTAGGTGAGCGTCTGGTGGCCGGGCCTTCGCCCATGGGGCCCGGTCGGGCTCAGCCCGAAGAAACACCATGGAGCAGCCACCCTGTGGACTCACCACCCGCAGGGACAAGCATCGGGGTCGGGTGCAATGCAGACCGGACGGCAGGTCGGGCGGGAGGCCGGGGCATGCCGATCGCCGGCAGCATAGACTAGCTCTAGGGACGTGGAACATCACCTCGCTAGCGGGGAAAGAGCCGGAGCTGGTGCAGAAGGTGGAGCGATACCAGCTAGATATAGTTGGACTCACCTCCACACACAGCGTTGGCTCTGGAACCAAGCTCCTGGAGAGGGGTTGGACTTTGTCCTTTTCCGGAGTTGCCCAGGGTGAGAGACGCCGGGCGGGAGTAGGGATACTCACGAGCACCCGGCTGAGCGCCGCTGTGTTGGAGTTCTCCCCGGAGAACGAGAGGGTCGCCTCCATGCGCCTACGGGTTGCGGGGAGCAAGGCTCTGACTGTGGTTTGTGCTTATGCACCAAACAGCAGTTCGGAGTATCCGGCCTTCTTGGAGTCGGTGGGAGGGTCCTGGAAAGGGCGCCGTCTACCGACTCCATAGTTCTCCTGGGGGACTTCAACGCTCACGTGGGCAATGACTGAGAAACCTGGCGGGGGGTGATTGGGAGGAACGGCTTGCCCGATCTGAACCCGAATGGTGTTTCGTTATTGGACTTCTGTGCTTGCCACGGTTTGGCCATAACGAACACTATGTTCGAACATAAGGTGGCTCATAAGTGTACCTGGTACCAGAACACCTTAGGCCGGAGATCAATGATTGACTTTGTCATCGTATCATTTGATTTGCGGCCGTATGCCTTGGACACTCGGGTGAAGAGAGGAGCAGAGCTGTCAACTGATCACCACCTGGTGGTGAGTTGGATCAGATGGCAGGGGAACCGGTTGGAAAGACCCGGCAAGCCCAAACGTGTAGTGAGGGTGAACTGGGAACGTCTGGCGGAGGACCCTGTCTGGGAGGTCTTTAACTCCCACCTCCGGAAGAACTTCTCACACATCCCGAGGGAGGTTGGGGACACGGAATCCAAATGGACCATGTTCAAAGCCTCTATTGTGGACGCGGCCGCTAGGAGCTGTGGCCGGAAGGTCATCGGTGCCTGTCGTGGCGGCAACCCGAGAACCCGGTGGTGGACACCAGAGGTGAGAGAAGCCGTCAAGCTGAAGAAGGAGACCTTCAAGGCCTGGTTGGCCCAGGGGTCTCCTGAAGCAGCTGACAGGTACCGGCAGGCCAGAAGGGATGCAGCTGCGGTGCTCGCGAATGCTAAAAGTCGGGCATGGGAGGAGTTCGGGGAGGCCATGGAGAAGGACTTTCAGTTGGCCTCAAGGAGGTTCTGGCAAACCATCCGACAGCTCAGGAAGGGAAAGCAGGGCTTACCCCAGGCTGTTCTCAGCAGGGGGGTGGGAACTGCTAACCCGGACGGGGGACATCGTCGGCGGTGGAAAGAGCACATTGAGGAACACCTAAACCCGACCAACATATCCTCTGCAGAGGAGGCAGCGCCTGAGGACCTAGGGGGAGGCTCACCCATATCCCTGGCAGAGGTCACTGAGGTAGTTAAAAAGCTCCTTGGTGGCAAGGCGCCTGGGGTGGATGAGATCCGCCCTGAGATGCTGAAAGGGCTGGACATAGTTGGGCTGTCCTGGCTGACACGCCTCTTCAATGTCGCATGGGGGTCGGGATCAGTGCCCATGGAATGGCAGACCGGAGTGGTGGTTCCCATCTTCAAAAAGGGGGACCGAAGAGTGTGCTCGAATTACCGGGGTATCACACTACTCAGCCTCCCGGGGAAGGCTTATGCCAGGGTGCTGGAAAGGAGGCTCCGACCGCTTGTCGAACCTCGGATTCAAGAGGAGCAGTGCGGATTCCGTCCCGGCCGTGGAACAGTGGACCGGCTCTTTACCCTCGCAAGACTACTGGAGGGGTTCTGGGAGTTTGCCCAACCAGTCTACATGTGCTTTGTGGACTTGGAGAAGGCTTTCGACCGGGTCCCTCGGGGGTTCTTGTGGGGGGTGCTGCGGGAGTATGGGGTGCCGGACCCGTTACAACGGGCGATCCGGTCTCTGTACGACTGCAGTCGGAGCTGTGTCCGCATTCTCGGACACAGCTTGGTTCGTGACTTTCACGGACAGGATATCTAGGCGCAGCCTCGGGGCGGAGAACGTCAGGTTCGGTTGTCTCGGGATCGCCTCTCTGCTGTTTGCAGATGATGTGGTCCT